CTAAATTTTATTTACTAAAAAAAAAGCAGGTTATAACATGCTGAAATTTTGTGCACTGCATAAGATAAATGAGATGGCAAAAAAAAAAGTAGAAACTACAAGGCAGAAAAAAGAAGAGATTGCTCAAAAGCAAGCCAATCATGAGTTGGTGAAAGCACAGAAGCAAGCTGTTAATGCATATAAAAAAGAGAAAAGAATGCAAAAAAAGAAAAAGTGATTAACAGCCACCTAACTTTTTGTTTTTGACTTAGTACCATTATACTAACACTAATGTTGAGGTGATTATCAAACTAATAAAATCAAACATTCTGCAGATGATAAATATTTTTTTATGAAAATCTGAATTTACTGCAGATAATATCAATTTTCAGTTTGCTTTTCTCTTGAACTAGTAAATAATTAATGGTCTAATTTTTTAAAAGATAGTATAAATTGTATACTTTAATGTAATAGAATGATTTATATATACTATTTTATAATCATCCCAATGTAATGTAAACAATTCCATTGATTTATTTGTTTTAGTTGCAAATCATAATTTTTGGACAATTTTATAAGTATATAATAAAAGTATAAAAAAGTTTTATAAATAAACTTTTTTTGTTTTAATTAATTTAAAGTAAATTGAAATAACTATTTATTATTTTATTATAGTTAATAAATAAACTTTTATTGTAGATTTTTATTATTAACTAAGTTAACTTTACCAAATTGCCTATATTTATCTTAAACTTTACTAGGTTCTGTTGTTAAAATTAAAGATGTTAATTAGTTTTTTGAAATTATATTCTAATTAGTTCTTACAAAGATCTGCAAGTTTAGTAAGAACTTGGTTCTTAAATTATATATAAACACAATATATTTTATAAAACTTGAATTCTGAATTGAATTATTATATCAATACAAATTTAAATTAATTGAATAAACTTATTTGATAAATTTAATTCAGAATTTGATATAAGAATAAGTCTTATAAAATGTATTGTATTTTTATATAATTTAAAGGATTGAGTTCAAGACTGTATTTTTATATTCTAGAATAAGACCAAACTGAATTTATAATTTAATATCTCTAGTTAAAATAACAATTTAATATATTTAAAAAATACAATTTACTTTTAGTTATAATACTTGATATTATATAATAATGATTAATTTGTTTATTTATTTAATATTTAATATTTTTTATAAGATTTTTTATTGGGTTGATTAAATAATTATCAAAGCAATAGCAAAATAATTTCTTGGATAACCTGATAATTTATTATATAATAGCTTGTAGACTTTTGTTTAGATTTTATTTATTGGAATTAGTTTGATTTAAACTGGCTCATTTAAGCTAGTTGGCTTAAGTCAACTTAACTTAACTAACTTAAGTTAGCTAGTTTGACTTTTTTAAACTAAGCCAGCTGACTTAAGCTGATTCCATTCTTAAATAAACTACAAAAATTAGCCAGTTATAATGAAAGTTTGCTATGCTATAAGTATCTAGATTTTGTTAATATTAGAATTTTGTAATCATCAGAATTTTATAAGTATTAGAATCTTGTAAGTATCAGAATTTTGTAACTATTAGCATTTTGTAAGTATTAGGAATTTGTAAGTATCAGAAACTTGTAAGTGATAGATCTTGAATGTCAGAATCTTGTAGTGTTAAAATTTTGTAAATATCAAGATTCTGTAAATATTGAAATCTTATAAATATAAAGATCTTGTAATATTAGGATCTTGTGAGTATTAAGATTTTGTAAATATTAAAATTTTGTAAATGTTAAAATCTTATAAATGTCAGAATTTTGTATTAAGATTTTGTAAATATTAAAATTTTAAATATTGAGATTTTGAGTATTGGGATTCTAATAATACTAGAATTTTAATAATTTTAGAATTTTAAATATCAGAATTTTGAGTATTAAAATTTTAATAATATTGAAATTTTAAAATTTTGAGATTTTGAATATTAGAATTTTATGTATTAGAATTTTAATATAGTTAGAATTTTAATTTGTTAAGATTTTATATATTGAAATTTTATTATTAGAATTTTGAGTGTTAAGATTTTGAATATTGGAATTTTGATAAGTAATTGTAATAAAATAAAGTATTATTTATAATAAAAAAATAAAAAAATTAATAATCAATAAGATTTTTATATAAAATAATTGCAAATATCAAAATAAGAATCAGTTAGAAAAAGACAAATTAAATTAGAGTACTAGAACCAAATATAGAAAACATATTATATAATTAGTTAAGCTTTTTAAAAAAATGAATAAAATAAAGAAGTTTATTGTATTTTAAAAAAACTTAATATAAAAAAAACTATGACAATTAAATGTATAATAAACAATTTATTGATATTTAAAGAACTAAATAAAAGAAAACTAGAAATATATACAACAGCAAATTATTAGATCTGCTAAGATAAAAAAAAAAAATCCAAGCTTACTTAACAAGTTGTAATAAACAAAAAGTTATAAAAACAAATTTAAAAAATAATAACAACAACAGCATGAAATAAGTTTAAAAAAAAAGAAAAAATAGAATTTCATTATAAGTATTATATAAAGTATTATTCAGAAAAACAAAAGCAAAAAAAATTATAAACAGAAAAGCATTAATAAAAAGACTTATTATATTAATAATAGACATTTTATTATCAAATATGAAGAGTCTGATATAAACAAGTACAAAAATAAAAAAAAGATCAATATAATAAATAAAATAAAGAAAAGTGCTTATGCAAAAAGGAAGTTAAAAAAAAAAAGATAAATAAATGCAAAAGAAAAAAAAATAAGTAAAAAAAATAAATAAAATAAAGAAAAAAAGACAATTAATATGCTTGTTACAAAAGAGAAAAAATCTTTTTAATATAGTTTTAAGTAGTTAGATAAATAGTTTATCTTTAACAGAAATAATGCAACTAGTTGCACTTAAGTACTATAAAGATAACTAAGTAATACTAAACTTAAATATTAAAAAATTCTATATAATTATATATGTATATAATTCCAAAAATCTTAATAAAATATTAACATAACTGCTTAAGATTAAAAAATATATATATTTCAAATAGTAACATTCTGATTAATAGATTATTATAAAAACAACTATTAATAGAAATAAAACAAATTAATATTTTAAAAAAATTAATATTTTAATTTTTACAATTAATATCTTAATAAATTTTAAAATTATCTTAATAATTTAATAGTCAAAAGAAAACTTATAATTTAATTTTCTTTTGAATATTAATTATTAAAATAACATTAAACTCTATTGAAATATGAACTATAAAAATTAAAGTATTGTTTTTTTTAAAATATCAATTTGCCTTATTTTTATTAATGATTACTTATATAATTATCATATAATTTTTACAATAAATTTATAATATCCAATCTTTGAATAATTCTATCTTAATGAATTTTAATCTGAATTTAATAATTCTACTATTATTAAAATCATAAAAATTTGCTTTCCAATTTTGCTTAAAAGTATAAAAACAGTAAATATTTTTAAATATTAAAATAAAAAAAAAAGATTAAAATCATATGACAAATAATCTATATGTGCTTTACTTTTAAACTCTCTGGTTCTATACTGTACTAGACGAGTAACACCAAGCTTCCGTACATCTAAGAGCCATCTAACTTAACATATAACCTCCCTTCAAGTACGTCCATCAAGCCGTTATCCTACAGCTCTAATGAAACCATTTTTTACTTTATTGTGGTTGGTTTTCGATTTTTTAAAAAGTACTCTAAACTGTATAAATAATGTAAAATTAAATTGAATTTATTAGTCAATCAGACGAACTTCTGCCTATGATTCTTAGTATCGTTCGAACTGTCTCATCGAGGGGAATCGAACGGTACCAAAATCATTAAATTTGGACCACTGAGATAGTTAGATGTTTACAAGATTCATTTAAACATAATTTTCTCGTGATCTAGTGATCTAAACTCAACGATTTTGATACCATTCGATCTGCCTTGTCGAGACGAACCATATGGTGTCAAAATTGCCGAGTTTCGATTACTGAATCACGAGATATTGTAAAGTTTGTTAAAAATTTCCTGGCTCGCAAATCTTCGCAGATCTCGTATGAATTATTCCGGTCAATAAAAACTTGGGTAATTAATAAATTCTGATTTACTTATTTACTTACAACGTAATACAATTAAATTGCGGTTTGCGCATATTGATATGCTATTACTATTTTTAAATAACGCCAAAGAAAATCATGGAAATTTCGTCTAACGCTGAAATTCCAGAAATTCCTATATGCAAAATGAAAGTGAGTCAGCAGAGATGCACAAAATTTTTTTAGAATTATTTGTTAGATAAAATAGGTGACGAGATAAATGATTTAAAAATATATACATCAGGTGATTTTTGATTCGGAGTTCTAAACAGAAAATATGATCAATTTTATACAAATGAAGAATTTATTTCAACCAATAAAAAATTGATGTACGTGATGTTACACGAAAACAAAAATACTATAAATTTTTGTATAGCGATAGAATAAATAATAACTATAATTTGAATTACGTACAGTGTTACTATTGATCAAAAAATAATGTATAATTTAAAATTGAGCATGTGTAGATAATAATTGTCGTATCAGATGCCTGTATATCCAAATGAGTCATTAAAGTTTTTAGTTTGGAAGGCATAATTTAATATATAGTTAGTTTCGCTTAAAAAAATGATAAACTGTGAGTCATTTTCTTTGAATAAATAACGACGGCATTCAAACTCCAAGTCTCGGCATTAAATTTGCCGATGTAAATATTAAATTTCACTGATATTGGCATGTATGCCTTGGGGATTTAACATGAGTAATCGCATGAATAGTGATTGATATATTTGCTTTCAATACAAATATGGAAAAAACAAGACTGAGACATTTAATAACTAAGTGGAAATTATATAAAGCTGTCATCTGGAACTTGTCAAGAAAACCAAAGCAATTGAAATTTTATTTTTGAATTTATAATTTAAAAAAAAATGGAAAATAATACGGATAAAAAACCAACAATCTTAATTGTTGGGGCAGGTATAGGTGGACTTTGTATATATCAGTCAATTCGAAAGCATCTTGGTCAGAAATTTAATGTCAAGATATTCGATCGTGAGACTGGTCCTCGAGGTTCGTTTTATTCAATATCAGTTAAAATTATTACTTGAAAAAATGCGAGTTTACTATAATATCCTTTCTCATTTTACACAAATAGACCGATGGCAAGGATACAACATTTATATTAATAGAAAAGGCGTTACCTCTCTATTCTATTGCACTCCGCCTGAAGTTCAAGCTCGCTTTCCCGAAGCTATGCCTGATCCAGCTCCTAAAGAACATCATACTATATCAATTGTTGACCATATTGGAAAGCAATTGCTTTGGATACCACAACCAACATATAAGAGCGTTTATGAAATAGAGCCTCTTAAACATGATTTTGCTGGTATAGTTACATATCGTAATAGATTACGCGATATTTTATTGGAAGGTGTTGATATCCAATGGGGTAAAAAATGTGTTGGATATGAAGAAAGTGATGATGGCGTTTGGGTTCTATTTGATGATGGAACCAGAGAATTTGGTGTTTTATTAATTGGTGCAGATGGAATTAATTCACCAAGTAAGTTATATTATCTCTTATAACAATTGCATTCAAATTTTTTTTTTACTTAATCAAATTATTTACACTGTTTTATTATAGTTCGAAAACAAAAGGTTCCTAACTTGGAAATATTCAACCTTGGTGTAACCAGTGTCGACGTAGATGTTGCTTTACCAAAAAATTTGGCAGAAAAATTACTGGCTGTTTACAATTATGCATTAATGCAAAAATCTGTTGGTCTAAATGGTGATGCGTTTTTTTCATTTATGCGTTTTATACCTATCGATCAATCCGATGAATCTTACTACAGACTTGGCATTGGATTTCATTATCCGACAATCCTCGACACCGATGACTCAAATAGTAAATTAGTTGACGACGATAATCCTGAATCTGTTATGAGGCATACAATTTCAAGAATCAAACAATTACGTCCACCTTGTGAATTAACAGATCTGATGGTTGAAATATTTTCATTAGTTCCATACTCTGATCCAGGAAAAAAGTATCCGTTTAGAACGTATAATCCTCCACGACGTCGTCCACTTCGCGATATTGATCCATTATCTGTTTCACCCTGGAAAAATGATAGAGTTATTTTGTTAGGCGATGCAGTTCATGCTATGAATCCATTATTAGGATTAGGTTTGTATTTATTAAAACTGGCTACTGAATAAAAAATCCGTTCTGCATTAATACTTATTTTTTATGCATATATATATATTTATTTTAAAGGTGCAAATAATGCAATACAAGATGCTGATCTGTTAACCAAGGAATTACTTAATTATGTGTATAAAAATGATGATTTATTTGCATGCATTCGACGATACAACGAACAAATGAGAGCTCGATCATCTAAAGATGTTCAGTCATCACGTAACACAGCACTAAGACAAAACGTTCCAATTGGAAAATTTGGCGAGATTTTTAGATTTATGATGCTTAGAGCTATTAGTGCTCTCATATACGTTATCGTATTGATTCAAACTCGTTCTTAACTTTATTCTAATTTGTATTTATCCATATATTTTTTATATTTTCATGTAAGCTATTACTATATTACAGCATTTATGTATAAATCTTGTAAATTCAATATTCATTATAATAAATTATATAAGTACAAGTAAGTACAAGGCAATATAAGATATTCAATTTTTAGTTCTTTATAATAAATTATATAATATTGTTTGGATGTTTCCATTAGAATAATTGTTTTTCAGGTTATACAAATTTCTCATATCTTAACAAATTCACATAGTTTTTGCTGTAATGTGTCTAATCGCATTAAAGCCTGAAGTTAAATATGTTTCAAGAATAGAATATTATGAGAAAATGGTTCATATCAAGTAAAATACTGCACAAAATTCTAGGCTTCTCTTTGTTATGTCAAAAGGAATGGATGTTAAAACTGGTTTGTGTTCAGAAGAGCTCTCAAAAATTGCGCAAAAATTTATCCTGATTGGAATGCAGTCCTATATGACATGCCAGCACCTAGTTTGCATACTTATTACATAATTACGTACACTTACTATACTTTGTGTTCTTGTGATTGGATGTTATATGAAAGGAGTCGATAGAAAAAAAGCAAATCATTTTTAGCAAAATTTTTTTAATTTTTAAATTAAAATATTTCAACAATTATCTAATCAAATTTGATAAATTTTTTATTTTAATAAAATTAAAATAAAAAAAATTTTACTTAAAAAAAGTTGGTTTTTTCTATTGATTTTATTTTATATGATTGGGGTTTTTTTGTATTAATTTAGCAATATGTAATCTAAATAAAAAATCCAATTGCATGAATTTTAGTCAATTACAGATGGTCTGTATATGTGTAATGACCAATAGAATTAAATGTTCAGATGTAACATATATACATTATAAGAATATTAAGCAACACATCTGAAATCTGTAACAGATAGAATTGAAAAAATTTAGCCAAGTCTTTTTTTATTATACTTAAGAATATGTTTTTTTATATATGAGTCTTAATAAAAGGAAACTAGCATATCTAAAATAGAATTATTATATAAAATATAATAAATTTATTGTTAAATATGTTTGGTTTTCTTTTAACAACTTTCTTATATTAAGTATTATTCTTTAGATTGTAGGCTAAAACAAACAAATTTGTTTGTATTTTTATATATTTTTTGGTTTTAATCTATTTTGTTAAAATATTAAAATATTTAAAAAATAATTTTTTATAATAATTATTAAAAATAAAAATTATTTTTTTATAAAATTTATTTTTAAATTATAAAAAAAATTAGATTACTTATAGACCAAAAATATATAATTTTAAAAAAAAATTTTAATAAAAAAATATTTTAATAAAAAAATATTTTGATTTATCTATAATAAACTTTTAAATATTAACTTTTTTTATTTATTAAGATTGAAATTTATTATAACTATTATCTTTATTGTGTTTTTAATTATATACTACATATAGCTTATACAAAAATAAGTATACAGGACCTGTGGGTCAATAGTAAAGTAGTTATGCTCCCAGGTTGCCAATCACAAGATTGCTAGTTCAAGTTCAACAGAGGACAAAAAACTGAGTTAGGATCATGATTGTTGATTAATCATATCTGATGATATACTATAAAAATAAGAAGATCTTTAGTACTCAGATCCTTAAATAATAATGAACCTGACATAAGAAGGTCACAATGATTAGGGAGTTAAAGATAATAATAGAACAAAGAAATCCCTGATTAGGAATAATTTAGATAAAATTTTAGAATAATAAGAACATAAAATTAATATATAGATAGTACTATAAAAAAATGTATATAAATAAATATAAAATGTAAAATATAGATAGGGTTCTAATAGAAGGTCCTGTAAACTTGATAAATTCAAAAAAATAAAACAACTGTCAGTTGTAGCCCACTAGTGATCATGCAGTAGAAAATTTAAAAAAAATAAAATAAAAAATAAGTATACAATTAGTTATATATAACTTTTAATTATCTATTTTAAATAGTTTATTTAAAAGTTTTATACTAGTTATTATCTCTTAATTTATTTGAAATTCAGGACAAATTTGCTCTGAATTTTACTATAAAAATACTTCTGATCTATTTTTTAAAAAAATCAATATATTTAAGTAAAATTTTTTTGATAATATTTAAAAACAAGAATTATATTTTTATAAAATTTATATTTAAATTATAAGATAAAAAATTTAACTTACTTATAAGTCAAAAATATACAAATTTTAAAAATATTTTAACTAAAAAAATAATTTATGTTTTTTTGATAAACTCTTTAAATATTAATTTTAAATCTATAATTTTTTAATAAAAATTCTTGTTTAAATAATGAATGATAATATTTATTATCATAACTTCTGTAATTACTTGTAAAAGTTAAAACTTGTATTATAAGTAAAAAAAAATTATATAGACAGAAACAAAATTTGAAAAATTTAAAGAAAAATTTTATAATAAAAAATTCAAAATAAAATGTTTAAACTTTATTATCTTTAAATTTCTTAAAAGATTTAAAAAAATTTTTTTAATAAACTTATTAAAATATATCTTAAAATATATTTTTTACTTAGAAAATATATGTCTAAAATCAAATTTTCAGACTTTATTTGAAAAATAAGGTTTTTAAAAAAATTTCAAGTCAAATTTGCAAGAGAAATGGTTTAAGAGATACTTATAATTTATTAAAAGATTATTTATTTAAACTTTTTAGTTCTTATACTTTATTAGATGAATAGTGTCTAGCTATTATACAACTAAATGCTATTTAATTTAATATTTATCATTCTTTTTATATATGCTTATCAAGCTATTATTTATTTTAGAGCATGTTATCTAACTGTAAAACTTTGTGCACTTTTCAGTTAACTAAACTATTTACTTTATATATTATTAACAAGACTATAACTTTACAAAATTTTTCCAAACTCTAATACCAACTTTACAGTATATCTTTAATATTTTAATATACTTTTGCTTTGTTTTTAAAGTTCTAATTCAAATAGTCTAAAGAACTATATTTTATTTTTAATATATTAAGTTCAATTAATATTCTTTTTCTTAGATTCAAATTCTAATAATCTGTTTGGTAGTATTTCTTATTTAGAGGTTTTTATCTGTCTAATTCTTTTATATTGGTATTTATTTTCTAGATTCAGTTTTTACAATAATATTATTAAAATTTTACATATTTAGATTTTTTTAAATAAGCTTTTGCTTTTAGTTTTATAAATTCATATTACTATAAGAACTTATTTTAAATTTGTATTACTTGATACTAATTTGCATCTTTTTATATAATTAAATTATACAAATACCTTATAATTTGCCAGTTATACTAATATAATTATAAAATACAAATTTATTTTTTAATATTAAGGGTAGAGTACAATGTTGATTATTTTTATATATAATTAGTTGCAAATTTTTATAACTTTTTTTTATATTTAATTTTTTAAAAAAATATATTAAGTAAATAAATTTTAATCCTTATATAAAAGTTGTATAGTAGGTCTTTTTGATTTTAATAATAGTAAAATTATTAAAATTGAATAAAAACTCATTGAGATATGAGTTTTTAAACATTAGACTATAAAATTATATAATAAAATTAACTTATAGATTTACGTAAATTAACCAATCAAATTATCCAATTTTGTACTATTTAGACAAACTTTATCATATATACAAATATATTTTTTAAAAATAATATAATAGTTCAAAATTTTACTATAATAGATAAATAATTTTATTTATAGTATTATAAAATTTTTTTATTAATTAATTAAAAAATAAATAGTTTTATTAGTATTATATTTTGTAGTTACTATATAAAATTTTTTTTGCAACTAATTATATATAAAAATAATTTACATTGTATTTTACTCTTAAAATAAGTATTTGTAACTTAAAATTTTATTAATAGTATATTTCAACTAATAGCTGTTTATATAATAACTACAAAAGCAATTATAAAAAGAATATACAATTAGTTACTTATATATCTTTAGTTATTGTCTAATTTAAATAGTTTATTTAAAAGTTTTATATTAGTTGCTATATTTAAAACCCATCTGTAGATATATTTTAGTTTCTGTATCTACTTCTATCTACTCTATTAATTGCTTTAAATCAAAATAGTGCAGATATGATATAATCACTAAGTTATATTTAACTTTGTACTAAATTTATCAAAGTCTTTTATATCTTATATTTATAGCTAACTTAGTTTTATTTTAATCTAAATTAGTATTTGTAGTTAGGTCTAATCATTTAGGTACTATACTTTTGTAAAGTTCACTCAGATCCTAGTATTTATTTTTTTAACATTTTTTTTATTATCTCTTACTAACTACTATTTAGAATTAACAATATTTTTTAAATTATTAATTCAAATAACTTATTATAATATATTTATATATCTTTATTTTTTAGTAATTTTAGCAACCTAATTAGTATATATGTTTTTTTGCATACCTAATATTTAGTTTATTTACTTATTTCTTTAGAGATGTTGTATAAACTTCTATTAGTTTAATAGCATTATTAAAAGTTTGTATTATTTCTTTATTTAGAATTTTTAAATAAGTTTTTGTCTTTTTAGTTTTTTAGACTTCTATATCTAATAGTTTTATTATAAATTTGCATTAAAGTCTTATATAATATTAGTTTTAATATTTTTTTATATATATGTAATGTTATACTTCATATAAATACTCTAAGCTTTCAATATTAATTAGAATTTATTTAGTATATCTAGATTATAGCTAAAATTAAACCAACTAATTAATAGAAAACAGTTATCATAATATAGATACAATTTTTTAAAATTTATTATTTATAGTATTTAAATATTAGATCTGTCACTTGAAAGTTAACAATTTGTTCACTTTACTAGGTTATTATACCTCTTAAATATAAATATCTTATTATAACTAATTGATAAAAAATAATTGTTATAATATAAGTAATCATTTAAAGTTTGATTATTAATAGAT